GGGATGCTTACATAATCCAATTGGAAGTCATAACTGTCATCATTCAGAAGATGTAGCAGTCTCATGCTCTTTAGGTAAATAGTTCAAATATTATGAATATTTACAAGCAAATTTTAACAAGACTATTTTAATTTGCACTAAAGCTTGTTTCACTGGGAAAGTAAGATTGGCTAATGGTACTACTCCTAATCAAGGACGTGTTGAGTTTTGTTACAGTGGAGTATGGGGCACAGTGTGTGATGACTTATGGACTAATTATAATGCCAAAGTTGTATGTAGACAATTGGGATATAATACTGATGGTGAGTTAGCTCATCCTCTCTCTTACCTAATTTTCAATTATTGACATAAGAAGATCACACTATTAGATCTAGAAGTGTTAATGATTTCTCAATTTTTAGGTGCTACATATTTTCGAGGCCCTGATCATAGTTATGGTAGTGGCATTGGCTATATATTTATAGGTTTGGTCCAATGTTCTGGTAATGAATATAACTTACTGGCTTGCTCACTTTATCATTCAGCTGGCTGTGATCATTCAGAAGATGTAGGAGTGTCATGCTCCTTAAGTAAATAGTTTAATATTGATTATACAGATGTAACTGTAAGCTCACACATAACATGCACATATCTAAACCTATTTGATTTAATATACTTATTATACTTCATTGTATATGCTTTGCTTTTACAGATACTTCTGAGTCATTACCATCTCCAACAGTATCTACAATAATATTGACAGTAACCAACTCATTTTGTGAACCTCTTTCTTCCTCACCATTCAATCAGAGTAGCATCACTGTCACCACCATACCAATAACAGTAACTGCCACTGCTACTGTAGAAAGCACAGCAGTGATAATGTCAACTATTGTACTGCCAATAATACTACTGATGATTATTGTGCTACTAATATCACTGACTCTCATCTTTTATTACTACAAAATAAGAAAGGCTGTAAATAGGTAAGATATAATTATGAAATAATGAGTAAATTTAAATATTGATTGACTCTTACACAATAATTATTACTGAACATAAAACTATGCATATGCACTGCAATACACTGTGTAATAATAAGCTGTGTAGAATGTATATAAATATTATTTTATCACAGTACAAGTTCGTCTTACTTTTTATTAGAAAACCAGTTTCTGGCAAAAGAACTTCAACTGCTAAATTAGACAATGATGTTGTATTCAATATCAGGTATAATGATACTAAGTAAGCTACAGTTGACCATTAATCATCAATTAAATTTTTATATTTCCTATAGTCAGCAAATATCATGTAGTCAATTCACATCATTCCCATTGCCAACTATTCTTGAAAATCAAGTATCTGATGGTACTAATGATCAAGACTACACAGCAATGCACTCTTCTTGCAATCACATATATGAAGATGCCACTAAAATTTGAGTGAAGGAGGAGATTAAGCTTTTTGTTCCTTTAGTTATACTCAACAAATTGACTAATATTAATAAGCATGACAGCAGTAGTGTTTGTGTAGATAGTGTCACATGTTTATGTGTACATAAATCTAGCTCAGTAAAACATTCAAATATTTTTTTCATAAGTCATAAAGGAACACATATCCAAATATGTAAAGCATACAGTCTTACTGTTAACAATTTAGCAGGTAGACCTTATGAAGTTATATGCATGGTATATGGTTCAATCATAGATCTGATAATATTAATATCTAGCATGCTTCACTGGGGAAGTAAGATTGGTTGATGGTGTCACTCCTAAGGAAGATACCATTTACCAATGCAATATAGTGCACAGTTTGTGATGATTATTAGGATATATATGATAATGCAGAAGTTGAGATCATGTCAAGGAGCAGTTACAGCAGCAGTTGTAGTACCAATACTGATTCTGGTTCTAGTTGCATTCGTCCTTATTATACTGTTTGTACTTATTGCTATCATCAAAAGACAGGCATTAGTAAAAATGTGAATGCTTTTCAAATTTTTAATTAGCCTGTTCATGGGGCTGGGGACAATAGAAGAGATTCAACTCTTAAAAACTAGGTGAAGAAGCTTTTTATTTAAATAAAGCATACAACTCCCGCATCACTACTAAGTAAGTTACAATTGATTATATTGTTTATTCCATGCACTGCAGTTTACAAAGAAGCACATCACTCCCATTGCTATCCATTCCTGACAATCAAATACCTATATCTATACTGAAGTGATTATGCTCCTGACTTTGAAGCAAAGGAGGAGAGGTAGCTCTTTATGAAAGTTTATCAGTTATGAATGACTAATTTTGTGAATATTGTGACTGAGCATTGGCTTCATAGTTGCATTGAGACAAATCTTACTCATAACAGAATAGCAGTGGATTATTATTAGATATGTTTGTGCATGTCTTTGTTTGTCAATTGTTTTGTTTTATAAAATAAGTTATCTTCCACTCTTTCTAATCCCCAACACTAATAGAATAAGTTTGTGTAGCTACATGTTTGTGCACATATAGCTAGTAAAACATTGAAATTGCAAGTTGATAAATAGATATCTATAATAAAACTGCTAGTTTGCCATATAATCTATCAGTGTTTGAACTTGTCACTGTGAAAATGAGTGTAAAGTTTCTTCTATTTCTCCTCTCAATTCAAATGGCATATTTTTTGGCAATTGGTAAGTATATCTGATATATTGGAGAAACTTATCAACCAATTATTTTATGCCACCTGTTCTTGTATCTTTACAAGTACTTTGTAGTAAATATAATGCAGTATAGGAACATAGTCTAGAATATGATTTATTATTTTAATATAAAATATTTTGACATTAGCTTGTACAACTGGGCAAGTAAGATTGGCTAATGGTGCTACTTCTAATCAAGGTCGTGTTGAAATATGTATCAATGGAGTGTGGGGCACAGTTTGTGATGACTTTTGGGTAACTAATAATAATGCAAGAGTTGTATGTAGACAATTGGGATACAGTACTGATGGTGAGTTGGCTTAATTATTGTCCTTAAAAATTATGTTATTTCAATTCAATCGCTTATTCTTTCCCTTCAGGGGCTAGAGCTTTTACACATGCTTATTATGGCCAGGGCACTGGTCCTATAGTTTTAGATAATGTGGTCTGCTCTGGTAATGAATCTAACCTACTGGCTTGCTCATCATATATTCTTGGAACTCATAACTGTGATCATTCAGAAGATGTAGGAGTGTCATGCTCTTCTTTACCAGGTAATTACAAATAATCAATTATGCACATCTACATGCATACACAGCTCGCACACATGAATCTACCTCTAAATGTAGGCTACTGACTAAGATATTTCATTTTTTTACTAGCATCTTACCCATTTTGTTCTTCCTCAACTTGTGACTGTTCTTATCAGAGTAGTGTTAATGTCAGCACCTTAATAGCCACTGCTACTCCTAATGCTGTAGGAGGTACAGCAGCAGCAAAAGCATCAGCAATTGTACTGGCTGTACTACTATTGATACTGATCATCATAATATCACTAATGTCACTGTCTCTCATTTATTACTACAGAACAAGAAAGGCTGTAAATAATAAGTAAGAAATAATTGATCAGACTCATACAGATACATTACTTTCTACTGAATACGATGTACTTTTATCTAATATGTGCATACACAAATGTTGTTTAATAGTCGTATTACATTTAAATTCATTTTTCTTAGAGAACCAGTTTGTGATGACAGAAGAAGTTCAACTCTTAAAGAATTAGAATATGAAGATGTAGCAAATAGTGAAGTTGTATTTAACATGAGTTATGATGGGTAAGCTACAATTTAATTATTAATTACTACTCATTATATAGTCGACAAGACTCATTAGGCAGTGCATCACTCCCATTGCCACCTATTCCTGAAGATCTATATGATAGGATTTATACTGAAATTAAAGATTGTTATTTATGAAGAACAACTGCAAAATAATTGGCATATTAAAACTGAAAAAATAGAGAAAACTATTTCATTTATTAACATATAGCAATAGTACTTGCATGTCTTAGATAATGCCACGTGTTTTACATAGCTCAATACAAATTAGAAACAGGAATGAATGTATCATACATCAGCTTATTCAACACACCCCTCCACAATCAACTCCCTCGTAGCTTGTGCTTGTTATTATGAAGTTTCTTCTATTTCTTTTCTCAATTCAGGTGTCATGCTTTATTGTAAATGGTAAGTGGATCAAGTGCTTAATTGTTTGTAATACTTAATTGACTTTGTTCATTAACCAGTATAATATTTATTATATTAGCTTGTACAACTGGGGAAGTAAGATTGGTCAATGGTGCTACTCCTAATCAAGGACGTGTTGAGATATGTATCAATGGAGTGTGGGGCACAGTTTGTGATGACTTTTGGACTAATAATAATGCCAAAGTTGTTTGTAGACAATTGGGATACAGTACTGATGGTGAGTTGGCTCTCTGTCTCTTTTTTTCTCTCTCCTCTTTCTGTGGTCATTTTTGACACTTAAATTCTGATTCACACACACACTATACACACTGTCTGTCCATGCTCTAATTGTTCATAGATATTAGAGTACAGATTAGCGTACTCTATACTATCTATGAATTGTTTATCTCTCCCATCCTCTTTTCTCTCCTCCTCTTGACTCCTTTTCTGTATTTATGTACTGGGTGGCAGGGCTAGACCCTGTCATTCCTTTGGGACTACTCCCTTCTACTGGACCTGTTTCCTCTTCTCTTGACTAGTCCTATAAAATTCCAATATTAATAATAATAATAATAATAATAATAATAATAATAATAATAATAATAATAACAATAAT